GGCTAATTTTTGTATTTTTAGTAGAGATGGAATTTCACCATGTTGCCCAGGCTGTTCTTGAACTCCTGGCCTCAAGTGATTAGCCTACCTCAGCCTCCCAAAGTGCTCAGATTACAGGCTTGAGCCACTGCACCCGCCAGCTTTCTCTCAGAATTTTGATACCATTGATTACCCTTTTCTGTTTCAAGCTTTCTTCACCTGGTTTCTGGGAGATACCACTCACCTGATTTTTCTCCCGCTTCACTTGCTGTTACTTCTCAGTCTCCTGTGTTGGATGTTTACCCTCTCCCTTGACTCAGCCATGCTAAGCCCAGGGCTCAGTCGTAACACTTCTTCTCTGCTCCCTTACACTCATTCTCCAGGTCCCCATTGTTCATTATAGTAGCCCCTAGCCACATGTGGCTTTTGTCTGCTATATTGTGTGGCTGAAATTATAGAACAGGCTCATCATCTCAGAAAGCTCTGGTGAGCAGCACTGCTCTGGGTTATTTCATCTGTCTAGTCCCATGGCTTGAAAAATTTATCGATGACATGCTGATGATTCCCAGATTGATTCACTAGTTCCAGCTTCCCTGCCTGTTTCGATCTTCAGCTGCCTGCTTGATTACTTAATTTCTAAGAAAGCTGTCACACCTTACATAGCTACAACTGAACATTGTTTTCCTTCCCAACTGCTCTTATGTCAGTCTTACCTATCAGTAAGCAGTACTATTCTTCACACAGGCTGAAACACCTTATAGTCTTTTGTGGGTGGACATGGGGAGGGACTTCCATTCTTGGGGAGAAATGGTTTCAGGGGAACACTTCTATTTCTTCTTTTCATGCCTTACTTTAGTTCCTGAGAAGCAAGAATGGATTGACTTTTCTCTTTTTCCTTTGCAATTATTTTTTACCTCTTTTCCTCTTGCACTCAATATCCAGTGCATCCAGCATGCATTTATCTCAGTGACTTGGAACATACATTTACTAGATACCCACATAGTCCATTTACTTATTCCATTCAAGTTTTTGCTCAAATATTACTGTTTCAGACCTTCTTTGTCCATTCTATCTGAAGCAGCATTCCTATCACTCTATACCCTTACTTTGTTTTACTTTTTCATCGAATTAACATGATCTGACATAGTGTATGTTTGCTCTTCATCTGTCTCTACCCCACTATAATACATGATGGTAAGGATTTTGATTCTGCTCTAAACTCAGTACATAAATTAGTAGCTCACATATAGTAAATGTTCAATGACATTTGTTGAATTAAATGACATATTGATGAAATTTCTGATGACATAAAATGAGGCAATATAGCTAATACATTACATTAGCATTTGTTTATGTATCTTTTGTTTTTGCTTGTTCATATTTTACATTTTACCAGTTGCTATATGAGAAAAAGTGAAACATTATTTTACTGAGAAGGTCATTTATATGATTATAGGCATTTGTTACTATGTCTTTCATTTATGATAAATGTTAAGGATATAAAAATTCTAGGAATATTGTTGGGGCAAGCTTTATTATGACATAACAATTGTATTAGAAATTGAAATTATACTAATAAAGTTAGATTTAAAATTGGGCATTATAGCTATAAAAGGTAAAAAGTAATAAGACAGGGTCCCTGGCCTTAAGTAACTTGTGACCTAGAGGGTAAAACAGTTATAGATAAGTAACTACAGGATGTGTCTATGTATTTTGGAAGCAGAGGCAAATATATAATGGCCTAAGGGCATCGTTATTAAAAATGTATCTACTTCCAGAGGTTCTGGACACCTAGAATGATACAGGATGATAAAAATTAGAGTACAGGTGTGTGTAAACAGTGCTGGCAGACTCAAGGAGGACACATGTGACTGTGCTGGTGGTTAGAATTAGGATCTTGGATAAAATGAAACTGCATAGATATCCAAGTGAGGCTTTGTAAAATACGGAGATAAAGAAGCCATGCCAGTTTAAGAGCATTAGATAAATCCCTCAGCTTGGCCTAGAAAATGTCCCTCAATAAGAGAAACAGACAGATCTAGCTGACCAGCTGCCAGCTTTCACTTCTTACCGCCACGCTGAGTTAGCTGGAATCATTTTAGCATCGCAAGATGGATGGCTCTACCTTGTGGTAGTCCAAGCTGGAGGGTGGTAGTAGTCAGAGCAACTAATGTAATACCATCTTTAGGCTCACAATTTGACCCATAATTTCCCTCCCATAATTTTATTTTATTTTTTCCCCTTCCATAATTTTAAAGTTAAAAATATCTGCATGGGCTGGGCCCAGTGGCTCACATCTGTAATCCTAGCACTTTGGGAGGCCGAGGTGGATGGATCACCTGAGGTCAGGAGTTTGAGACCAGCCTGGCCAACATGGCGAAACCCCCTCTCTATTAAAAATACAAAAATTAGCCATGCATGATGGCGGGTGCTTGTAATCCCAGCTACTCGGGAGTTTGAGGCAAGAGAATCGCTTGAACCCAGGTGGCGGAGGTTGCAGTGAGGCCCAAAATCGCGCCACTGCACTCAAGCCTGGGTGAAAGAGTGAAACTCCTTCTCAAAAAAAAAAAAAAAAAAAAAAATTTGCATGATATTGATTAGCTCAGGAGGCAGCAGGAACAGGTATGGAAGGTGTGTTAGGACTGTATTCCAGGGCGATTCCACTTGGTTGAGCAGTTGATATACTGCTTTCTGGTGCTCTGCCAGAGGAGTGAGGGGGTGAGACTGAAATATACCCTGTGCTTTGACAGCTGTGTGCCCTGCTGTGAAGCTGCTCCCATCAGGAAGGGATGTTTTTTCCTAATTCGCAGAAAGCCCTGCGTAGTCTAACACAGCTGTTTTCTGCCTGGTTTATCTTCGAGTGCCTAGAATAATGTGTGGTACAAGAACTGTTTGGCAAGCTGAAAGAAACTCAAGACAGTTTTCCAGATTTGAGCATTTCGAAGTAATTAAAGATCACTCTGGGCCAGGTACAGTGGCTCCCGCCTTTAATCCCAGTACTTTGGGAGGCTGAGGCGGGCAGATCACTTGAGCTCAGGAGTTCAAGACTAGCCTGGGCAACACAGTGAGACCCTGTCTCCTTTTTTTTTTTTTTTTTTTAAATAAAAATAACTTTTAAAAAGTCTGATTTAAAAACTTGTAATTCAAAATATCTTCCTGTTTGCTGCATAACTGTAAGGAAACATTTTTCATGCTTCTTCCTGGTAAAAACTATAGAGAAGGGGAGAACAGGTAACTAAAGAGAAATATCCTGTTGCTATCCCAGAAATAGAAATTTATCCTTTAGTCTTCTAGAAATAACCTTCATTATATTGTATACAAAAGATTAATTCATTTAAAAACTTCAATAAAGATATGAAATTTGATGATGATTAATAAATTGATGTTTGGTTTTAGTATTGTCTAAGTTCTTATGTATCCTCAAATACCTTTTATCCTAACAGGAAAGTAATGGCTGTACCCAGGAACTTTGAAGACCTTTTTTTCTCGATAGTATTTAGATATTCCACTGCCTCCTAGATTCTAGTGTTAAGAAGACTGGTCTAATTCTCCTTTGCATTTAACTTGTGATTTACCTGGATGTTTTAAGTTAAGAACTGGAAGAGGAAAAGTAGAGAGCTATTATTGAGTTGCTTTTTCAGACCACTGTGTTCCAAGATTCCCTCTCAAGAGGAATTCTTGAAGTAGGCATTTTTTTAGTGTGCTCCTAAGATTTAAAAATTTCATTGGTTGTTTCATACATCGTGTATGAAGAATGGCCACTGATTACGTCACAACTTTATTTGTTAAAATTATTTGTGGTTTACTATTGTCATTAATATGTTTGTCTTTTTTTTTTTTTGTAGGTGAAGCTTTGTTCTAAGAATATTTGTTTCATCTAGTTTATGAGCCCAAATGATATAGACTCTAAATGTTATAGCAGTGGTGAAAGACTGGTAAGTATATAATGTAATAAATATTAACCATCAACATACTTGTTTTTGAAGGCTTGAAACTACATAATTATGTGACATTCGTTAAACCCCAAAGTTAAAACAGCTAAACTTTTCTTAGTAGAGATGGATGTATAGTTTGTGGTTTATCCATACAATGGTATATTGCATGATGGTTTAATGGAATGAACATAACATTAAGAGGAGAAAGCAAAGTTACCAAAGAATATATACAGTGTACTATTTATATCTGGTTGTTGGCTATAACCTCATGTTATATATTCTTTGTTTCTGGTTACTTTAAATATTAGAAAAAAATTTAAAGAAAATACCGTGCAATCATCTTTTCAGTTGACATTCAAAATGGCTAAAAGTCATTCAATTAAATTCAATATTTCTGTTAGAAAGAGGTGAATGCTTCCTAATGTACAAAGCAAAAGTGTCACCATCACCACAACTGATGTTGTTCTGTTAATGCAAACTAATACAATTAGATAGAATAATGGAAATTATATGAATATTGGATAAGATAATTCAGAATTTTTGTTATTTGTAGATTATAGAGTATTAAATCTGGGAAATTCAAAACAAAATAATAAAAAAGCTCAGAAAGAAGTTTAGATATATGATTATTATATCAAAAGAAATCCACTTCCTATGTGCCTACTATATACCAGTTTTAAATCCTAGAATATATAATGGAAAACAAAATCCCATTCATAATAATGGCAAAAATATAAAGCACCTTGGAGTAAACCTAAGAAGAAATATGTAAAACCTACCCTATGAAATAACAGCAATTTCTACTTCAAGGAAATAATAAGACAAAGGTACAAGTAGTATAAGGGTGTTAATTGTAGCTTTGTTTATGATAATAAAAGACTAGAAACAATCTATTCAAAAATAAGAGATTGGCTGCATAGTAGACTATAATATAATGCAATATATGTAATATTTACATGTAGCAGTGTGCCATACAGCTATTAAAGAGTGACAGCTCATGTGAAATGTTTTTCAGTATATCTAAATGAAATAAAAGCAAGTAATAGATCATGTATATACACTAGCCTATTCATATAAACATGTATATATTTTATGTACATTTTTAAATCAAGAAAAAGCATACATTTCTGTTGAGATTATAATGCCTTTTACTGATATGGCATTAACTGTTATATCTAAAAATTTATATTGATTTCCATTATCTTAATTTCTAGAAGATAGACTTAATTATTCCCATAATTTTTCAGGTTTTCACATTTTTAATATTTCTAAAGTTGCAGTGTATCTTGCAATGGATGATGCCGTATAAGCACTTGTGAAGTAGTTGACGTGGTCTGCACACGAGTGCACTTGATCATAGACTTTCACATTGTCAGCACTTCAGCAGATTTCAGTGCATTGCTGGTACTGTACCTGTTGAGTTTTAAGCGTCTTCCTGGTTGTTTTCGGAAACTTTCTGCTGATACCATTTGGTAAGATCAAGAAAGCACCAGCATATAAACTTATAAAATGGCATTGGTAGCTTTGAAGGAAAATCCCGGAAACAATAGTGCAGTACTCTTAAATGCTGTGTCATGAATGGTCTTGACAACCCAGAAGGTGATATTGTAGGGAAATTTTATGTGATAAGAAACATTGTGTCATAGTTTAATTCTTTTTTAGTGGTGTACTAAATAATTATGTATCCTAAAATTATTAACAGATTCAGTGAAATATATTAAAATTGGATAAATATGAACTGAATATAAATTAGGTTATTGGATTTATTGAATAATTTTACTTTCTGAAAGTATATAAAGAACCAATATTAATATATAATAGAGGTTATTGCCGCATTTTAGAATAATGAGAGATGTACTTTATACTTTTCTGTCTTCTTTCTAATGTTCAAAAATATTAAAAATAATGATGTTTGTTATACTAAGAGAGAGTTACTGTAACACCTAGAATTCTGATGGGAATCAAAGAATTAAACTATGAGGTCCCAGAATGAACAGGAACTAAGTTAGTATTAGGAATTTCTCTGGTATTTCCCCTTCATGTTTATCTGCTTCTCTTTGTATCCCGTTGGTTCATTTTTACCTAGTTGGCTGCTTCTGACCCTCAGCTACCTCATAATGACTACCATAGCCCCATCTGTATGTGACCTTTCAGCACATCAACTGTATCCCTTTAGTTTAAATTCCCCAGAGAGAAAGAAAACCTGATTAGTCCAGTTCCTCTTTGCAACCCACACTATACAAGTCACATCTTGTGATGAGCATGCGTTGTAGCTAAATTGGGGCCCAGAGCCTGACTGTGCCTCTTGGCAAGAGGCATAATCATATGCCCACTGCCCTCTCAGCAGGGGTTGTAGGGAGGGCTTCCCCCTGAAGCGGGTGAAGGGAGGGGAAACAATACATGTCTTATTTAACTTAACATCTCTACGTTAAACGTCTTTTAAAGGTTGTTAGATACCTCAAAATTACTTTTGGCCCAGAGATGAAACTATTTTGAAACTCTTTGGGGATTTTGTTGTTCATGGTTTTTCCCTTCTGAAAATTTGTACATTTTTCTCTGTGTTTATGTTCCCCCATTCTGTTTGCTGTACCTTATTTCCCTTAATCTTAAAATGTCACATTACCCTTTATTTGATTTAAATGTTATAAGAAGTGAAGTGGCATAACTTTAACTGTTAGAATTATTCAATTTTTATTCGCCTGACTGGAAATCCTCTTATTAACTGAACTTTGGTGTTTGGGGAGGATGGGGCAGTGATTGTGGGCTCTATCAAGTGAAAAATGGGTTATAATTTTAAAATGCCAATTTATTATAAAATATGCAAAGGAAGAACATTTTATAAGTAATGGGTTTATTTTTATTGTGTTTAAGAAAGAAAGTCTTCTCTCTTAAAAAGAGAAAAATGTCTTCCAGGTGCTGTCACTTACCCATTCTCAGCTATGCTCAGGTATTTCAAACCTGGGACTCATTTCTGCCATGGCAGGAATTACTTAAGAAGCACCCGACTAGGTTAGAACTATGCCTGAAAATATTATAGGGTTAAGTACCAATTCCCAATAATTTTAAGCCAATCTTCAGTTAGAAACAAACAACAAAAACACATAGTTTTAAAAGTAAATTTGTATTTGTTTTCCTAATCTTTTTTTTTGTAATATTTATTTTATAGCTCGGTCATGAGCACCGACAGTAACTCATTGGCACGTGAATTTCTGACTGATGTCAACCGGCTTTGCAATGCAGTGGTCCAGAGGGTGGAGGCCAGGGAGGAAGAAGAGGAGGAGACACACATGGCAACCCTCGGACAGTACCTTGTCCGTGGTCGAGGATTTCTATTACTTACCAAGCTAAATTCTATCATTGATCAGGTAACATGTTTATATCAAATACTTATTTTCATCAATATATGATAGTTAACTATAGCTACATGGTTTTGGATTACATACTTTCTGAAGCCTCCTTGAGATAAAGTCTAGTCTTTCACATTATTCCACTAAAAAAAAAAAAGTGGACCTATTTATAACCATATTGTTTATTTGAATTTTTTCAAAATATCTGAAATATCTTAGAATTATGAATGGCCTAAAAACTAAATGGTTTCATATATACTATGCTTTTTATCCTAATATCAGTGAGATAACTATGGTTGTTAGTAGAAATATAAGATATAATCTTATATCCCTGCATCTTATGTCAGAAACATGATGAATTTTCATTTTCAATGAATGTCAAGTATGTTTTTGAAAAAGTTTTGGAGGCTGCTAATTCTGGAGTGAAAGCAGAGAGTCTTTTTATGTGAACTAATAATTACTGAGTCTTTTAGCTTGTATACGTCTAATTTTTCAAACGTTGTTTTTGGCTTAATGTATGGTATGACCATATGGTTTTGCTGTTTTCTTATTATAAAATTAACAGAGTTTTAAAACTAGTTGAGACTAGATGTTTTCATCTAACCTTCTTTTACAGATGAGAAAACAGATCTAGAAACATTAAGTACTCACATAAATTAATTTTAAGGCCAAATGTGATTTATATCTTTATTTCCTTTTAGTAGAAAATGAATAATTACTTTGTGAATGTAAAACTCTACAATCTGCTTTCAGGGAACTAATTAATTTAGTTAGTTGAAAAAAATAAAGTGTTTGTAACACCAATATGATGGATTTTTTTTTAACACTTTGAATGTTACCAGCTTTAAATGTAAAATTGGCCATCATTAAATAAAATTTCTTTGCTATGAAAGCACTTTGCTAATAAATACATATATTGAGTAAATATGGACACTAAAACAGTACCTCTGTTTTCACTATAAGCTAAGGAAAATAGCAAATACAAATTAGAAAGCATTTACTTGTCATGGAATTTTTCAGGACTTTTGTAGGTTTATGTTTTTTTTCTGAGACAGAGTCTCGTTCTGCTGCCCAGGCTGGAGTGCAGTGGTGCGATCTTGGCTCACTGCAACCTCCACCTCCAAGTTCAAGTGATTCTCGTGTCTCAGCCACCTAAGTAGCTGGGACTACAAGCGTGTACCACCACACCCAGCTAATTTTTGTATTTTTAGTAGAGACCTGGTTTCACTGTGTTGGCCAGCTGGTCTTAAACTCCTGACCTCAAGCAATCTACCCCTGTTGGCCTCCCAAAGTGCTGAGATTACAGGTGTGAGCCACTGTACCCAGCCAAGTTTATGTATTTTTATTCTTTTTCATGTGATTTGTTAAATGAGTGATTAAATATAATTTGATTTCTATATATTTGTATGACTTTTCTATAAATAAAATTTAAAATCAGAAAAAATTATGTTAGACCGTGTGTAGTGATTTTTTATTTTGAAATTTTAATTATTTAATATGTACACCATGCTCTGTTCTTCTTCTTCCCCATGTTAAAAAAATTCAGTGCTTTGTCTTTTTTAAAATACACCATATAAATAGCATCAGAAATAGTAAATATCCAGGAATGACTCTAATAAAATATGTACAGTACTTCTGCATGAAATTCTATAAAAGATTATTGAGAGAAACTAAAGGAGACCCAAATAATTGGAGCATTATATAATGTTCATGTATTGAAAGAATCAATATTATAATCATACATCTTTTCTCCAAATCTGTAGATCCCAATTTAATCCCAATCAAAATGTTAATAACAGCATATTAAAAATAACATTATTGAGATATTCACATATCATAAAATTCACCCATTTTATGTGTACAATTCAATGGCTTTTAGTGTAGTCACAGATACGTGCATCTGTCACCACAGTTAATTTTAGAATATTTTCATCACCTCCAAAAGAAACTCCATACCCTTTAACTCTCATTCCCCTATCCCTTCTGTTCCCCTACCCCTAAGCAAACACTAATCTACTTTCTATTGCTCTAGATTTTATGCTTTCTCTTTTATGTCATGAAATGTCTTTTAATGTATTACTGAATGACTGAAATAATTCATGTCATAACAGCAGCAATAATTTTTCTTTTGGGAGTATTTTGCCAGTCTGTAGTGTTAGCCATTCTAAAAGAATATGAAGTAGTATCTTATTGTAGTTTTAGTTCACATTCCTCTAACAACTAATGATGTTGATCATTTTTTCATTACCTTATTGGCCATTTGTGTATCTTCTTTTATGAATGTCTGTTTAAAAGTTTTACACCATTTTTAAGGTCAGGTTATTTATTTATCATCAGTTGTAGCAGTTCTTTATGTATTCTGGATACAAGTCTATTGGATTACAAATACAGTATTTTCTTTGTATATATGGTAAAGAGAATACTTTCTCTTTTAAGTCATAAAATATATTTTAAGGTATTAAATGACAATTATTTAGGTCATAAATTAAATAATTTTTTTACTGTGGTGGTATTTTTTAATCCCTTCTTTCCACCTAGTAACTTTTTGGAATATCTGTGTCAATAATAGTAGGAACAGTAGATGTGCCTTTGGAGTGAAAATAAATAGCTGTTTAAAACATAGGCCTTTATCAACATTCAGTTCTTTCAATTAGGAAATGGAGAATGAATGTTTGAGTTTTTAAGGGGAATTAATTGAATGAGATTTTATCATTTAAGATGGAATCATAACACTAGGCACATAGTTGTAGTTTTAGGAGGAAATTTAGTTTTTCTGTCTCTGCTTCTCATGAATAGGAGCACTTCTTGGGTACTCTGGAGTGATTTAAACCCTTTCTCACCCACTGGAGTCCTTTTGCTTTATTAATATTTATTTATTTATTTTTGATACAGAGTCTCACTTTTTCACCCAAGCTGGGGTGCAGTGGCACAATCTTGGCTCACTGTAACCTCAGCCTCCAGGGTTCAAGAGGTTGTCATGTCTCAGCCACCTAAGTAGCTGGGATTACAGGCATGAGCCACCACGCCTGGGCTAATTTTTTAAAATATTTTTAGTAGAGACAGGATTTTGCCATGTTGGTCAGGCTGGTCTCAAACTCCTGGACCCAAGTGATCCTCCCATCTTGGCCTCCCAAAGTGCTAGGATTACAGGTGTAAGCCCCTGTGCCTGGCCTATTAATAGACATTTAATATAAAGAACTAAATAGACTTTATTGAGGTATAATTTACATACAGTAAATGCACAGATATTGTGCATATAGTTAGATGAATATTGATAAATACACCTCATATCAGTAGTCCCAATCCTTTGAGGGGCTGAGATAGGTGGATTACTTGAGGCCAGGAGTTTGAGACCAGCCTGGGCAACATGACAAAACCCCATCTCTACAAAAAAATACAAAAATTAGCCAGGTGTGTTGGTGTGTGCCTGTAGTCCCAGCTACTCGGGAGGCTGAGGTGAGAGGATTGTTTGAGCCTGGGGGAATCAAGGCTGCAGTGAGCCATGATCGTGCCACTGCACTCTGGTTTTGGTGACAGAGTAAAACCCTGTCTTGAAAAACAAAACAAAATCCAAATATTTACACCTGTGTCATCACCACCAAGATCATTGTTTAGAATATTTCCATCACCTTAGAAAGTTTTGTCATGCCCTTTTTCAGTCAATCCCACCCCTTCACTTACTGCAAGACCACCACTGTTGTGACTTTTAGCATCTAAGTGTAGCTTTGGAATCATGTGGTATGTACTCTGATGTCTCTGAAATTCATCCATGTTCTTGCATAATTTAGTAGTTCACTACTTTTTAATTTCTGATTAGTATTTCATTGTAAGGGTATACTGTAATTTGTTTAACCATTCATCTGCTGTTTAATCTTTTGAGCTGTATGCATTTGGCCATTATGAATAAAGCTGCTTTGCACATTCCTATAAAAGTCCTTGGATATGTTTTTATTTCTCCTGGGTAAATATGTAGGCATACAATTTGTGGGCAAAGGGTAATGTTTGTTTAATTTTGTAAGAAACTGCCCAACTGTTTTGCAAACTAGTTGTACCATGTTTCATTCTTACCAGCAGTGTATGAGAATTCCAGTTCTATATCCTCTCTAATATTTGATATTGCCAGTCTTTTTAGTGTTAGTCGTTCTAAGTGAATATGAAGTAGTGTCTCATTGTAGGTTTAATTTGCATTTCTCTGGCAATTAATGATGTTGAACACTTTTTCTTTTTCTATATTTATGGGTCTTTCTAGACTGCATTGTGTTCCACTGATCTTTGATGTAGTCTTTTATCAGTACCCTGCCTAGATTACTGTAGCTTTTATAAAAATAAGTTTGGAAATTAGGTGTTGTAAGTTGTCTAATTTTGTTCTTGTTTTTAAAGAAAGTTTGGCCATTCTAGATCCTTCATATTTCCATATAAATTTTAGAATCAACTTGTTATTTCTACAAAATGCACACCAGGATTTCAGTTGAGATGATGTTGAATCTATAAATCAATTTAGAGAGAATTGACACTTAACAATGTTGAGTTTTCCAATGCATGAACATGATGTCAAACTCTATTTACGTCTTCTTTAGTTTGTTTCTCTGCACTATTGAGTGGTTTTCATTGTAGCGGTCCTGCCTGTTGTTTGGTTAAATTTATTCTAAATATTTTATTCCTTTTTGATGCTATTATAAATGGTATTTGAATTTTTTAATTTTCCTGTTGTTTGTTGCTCATAGAAATACAATTGCTTTTCGTATGTTGACCTTGCATCCTGTGCCTTTGCTAAATTCATTCATTAGATCTTGAAACTTTTCTGTAGTCCCTAGGATTTTATATGTAAATAATGATGTCATCTGTGAATAATGACAATTTTACTTTTTTCCCAATTTGCATGCCTTTTATTTTGCTTTCTTGACTTTTGCGCTGGCTTCTAGTACAAAGGCAGATGGAAGTAGTAAAAGTGGACATCCTGGTTTAGTGTCTGACCCAAGGAGAAGCATGAGGTATTTCACCATTAAGTGTGATATGAA